ATGTCACCATCGCACTTCAGCGTGTTAACCAACGCACTTCAGCGTGGACCATCGCACTTCAGCGTGACCATCGCGGTTCGGAGTACCATCGCGGTTCAGAGTCCTACATATATATATATTGTTAAGGGGTGTGGATCTGGACCATTTACAAGATATTAGAACATTGGGGGTGGGGGGAACCCCTGGGGACTGACCCTATACATCATTCAAATCTTCGAGACATGACGAACAGGAATATATATGGTTAAGGGGTGGGGATCTCGACCATTTACAAGATATTAGAACATGTGGGGTGGGGGAAACCCCTGGGGACTGACCCTATACATCATTCAAATGTTCGAGACATGACGAACAAGAATATGTATGGTTTAGGGGTGGGGATCTCGACCATTTACAAGATATTAAAACTTTCTCAAATGGCAGGGGGTGGGGATAACCCCAGAGGACTAAACTTTTGTTTCATTTAATGTGCTTTATCATTTAGAACATTTTCAATTATAAAGATTGTGTCTATCACAAACGGTTTTCAATTAATAATCATTTGAAAATTTTAAAAAATGAAATCCCATAGGGTTCTATAGTAAAACCCTCCTTTCTTTTTGCCCCTCAAAGTACCTGTTAAACCGTTTGTGATAGACACATTATTTTTTAAATTTTCAAATGATTATAAATTGAAAACCGTTTGTCTATTTTTAGCCATGGTGGCCATCTTGGTTGGAAGGCCGGGTCTTCGGAAATTTTTTTTAAACTAGATACCCCAATGATGATTGTGGCCAAGTTTGATTAAATTTGGTCCAGTAGTTTCAGAGAAGAAGATTTTTGTAAAAGTTAATGGACGACGACGGACGACAGAAGACGACAACGGAGTACGGACGACAAGTGATGATAAAAGCTCACTTGGTCCATAGGGCCAGGAAAGATAATTTTTGCCCTGTAAGATTTTTTCAATCTACATATACATCATTGTTTCAAGAAATTGAAACATTAAATACAATGTATGTTCTATTCTTAGCAATGGTGGCCATTTTGGTCAATTGGCAGGAACAAAAGACATAAATTTATACCAGATACCCTAAGGATCATTCAGCCTAAGTTTCTTTGAAATTGGTTGAGTGGTTTCAGAATAAAAGATTTTCTTAAATGTTACAACAATGGACAACGAAAATGATGGACAACCTCAGCCAAATGATTGCAACAGCTCACCTGTCCCATAGGACCAGGTGAGTTAAAAAGGTAAATCCTGAAAATAGACATATCACCTAATAACCATGGACAAATATAGTTACCTATTACTCATGATAAGTTTCTCATGAAAAAATGTACTTGATCCTTATAATTCTCAGTATTTATTATAACCTAAGACAAAAACAACTTGGTGAAATACAGACTTATTATATACTTTTGATTGAGAAAAATGTAGCAGTAAAACATTTAAACATTTGGTTATCACTTTTCTACTTTTCTAGATTACAAAAATTCATGATTTAATCAGAGGAACAACATATATTGCATTAAATGATATAATTAGGATAATAGAATTCAAAAGTAAATATAATTTACCCATTAAACAGGTGTATTTTATTATAAAAAATAGTTATAAAATAGATATAAATATTCCAAAATAACGTATTTATTAATGACAATGATTTGTGCAAATATGTTCACATCACTTTGATCTAAATGCAAATTCATTATTTAAAATCTAATAGAAAAAACAAGATACCTTACTTTTTTGCTTTGAAATGTTCTTTAAATGAAACAATATTGGTGTTAAATTTATTAAAAATATTTGGAAACAGTCTTTTGAAGCCAATGATTACTGAAAATTCAGAAATTATGGCGAGGTTTTTATTAGTGTGAATAATGCAACTTGGTGATTACCACAATAACAAGCATTCTGCATGGCAATACATAGTCCCCTACCTATTAAAAATTCATTGTACTGGAACAAAATGCCAACTTGATCTATAACTTGTCATGGTGTTAACTATATAACAAATATCAAGTCAATATCTTCAAGCATGATGAAAAAAACTGTGGAAAACTGATTATTTAAGTGAATTTTCTATGTCCAAGGACCATAACTCTGCACAAAATCATCAGTCCGGAACAAAATTCGAAGTTGATCTGTAACTTGTCATGATAAAAGTATATACCAATTATCAAATCAATATTTTCAAGCATGACGAAAAAAAGTGAGGAAAACTGATTATTTGAGTGACTTTTCTAATTCCAAGAACCATAACTCTGCACAAAATCATTAGACCGGAACAAAATTCAAAATTGATCTGTAACTTGTCATAATAAAACAATACACCAAATATCAAATCAATATCTTCAAGGACGAAGAAAAAAAGTGTGGAAAACTGATTTGCCAGACTGACGGACAGACAGACAAACTGACAGAGTGCAAACCTAAAGTCCCCTTTGACTTTGTCAGTAGGGAACTAATAAGAACTAGCATTCTGATATCTGATACATAACTCTGTATGGAGATTTTCCTGAAATCGCAAGAAATAATCTCACATTTTTGTCCATTCTTCAAAAATTGCAATAATAAATGCACACAATAATTTCTGATTTTACAGAAGTTACATACTCTTTACAGTATAAACCACATATTTGTTAGTAATTTGTTTAATATTTTTGCTCCTGGTCAGTTTAATATGAGTGAACATGGAAAATTCTAATACTATAAATTGAATGAACATAACAGTGTAAAATCTCAATAGGATTTCTGAAAAAAATACTTGAGTTATTGTAAAACATATGAAAAATTGCCTTGTTTATTTTTCAAATTAAAAAAAAAATGGCTTACTTTCCCCACACATATAGCTAAGATAGTCTGAGGTACTCTGTATAAGTAGGTCACCTAGATCTCTTAGCTACTGACATTCCAATTTTATTATCCGAGTGTAGGCTATATCAAAATTCTAAATGGCTGCTAAAGGCAAATTCTGTGTATGTAACTTTACTTATAAACAAGCATTCTGAGAGTATTGCATGGCAATACATAGTCCCCTACCGGGTAAAAATTCATGATACTGGAACAAAATGCTAACTTGTTCTATAACTTGTCATGGTGTAAACAAAAAGTAAATATCATGTCAATATCTTCAAGCATGACTAAAAACAGTGTGGAAAACTGATTATATGAGTAAATTTTTCAAGTCCAAGGACCATAACTCTGCACAAAATTATTAGATCAAAACACAAAAAATTTGAACTTGATCAGTAACTTGTCATAATAAAACTATATACCAATTATCAATCAATATCTTATAAGCATGATGAAAAAAAACATTAGATATGATTAATAGTTCTTTAAAATTAGATATGATCAGTGTATATCTATTTTCAAATTATAATCAAATATAATTAATAGCTCCAAATATTTTTTCTTTCATTTGTCACAAACTAATATAGATTTGTAACTTATCTATAAATTGTCAACAACTTTTATCTACACAATGGAATGTATTGAAATATATACATTAATAAAAATAGATTATTATCTAATTAAAGGATTTCTCTTCATAATTTTTTTTTATATATATATAGCATTCAGAAAATTAGTTTATACTAAATAACAAACAAAACTGCCAAAAAATTCTTCAAATAATTTAACAAAGAATCTTTTAAAAAAAATGAGTTATCTCCCTTTGTACAGAAATATGGTTTAACATAGTACTCTAACATTAGATATGGTCCAGAGTTATGGTCCATAACTCTGGACTAAATCATCAGACCGGAACAAAATTCGAACTTGATCTATAACTTGTCATGTTTAAACTATATACCAAATATCAAATCAATATCTTCCAGAACGAAGAAAAAAAGTGTGGAAAGCTGATTTGCCGGACTGACGGATGGACAGACGGACGGACAGACAGAAGGACAGACTGACAGACGGACAGATGGACGGAGTGCAAACCTAAAGTCCCCTTCGACTTCATCAGTAGGGGACAAAAAAAAAATAATTGACTAATGCTCAAAAACTTTTTCCACTTTATAGCAAATCTAAGAAAACTTCAAACATTTGAAGTGTTCATAGCATTTGTCAGAATATTCAGCAAAAAATTCTGAAAAAAAAACGGATTCAACACACTAGCTCCTTTGAAAAAATAGACCAAATTTTTGACAAATTGATGAAAAACTGTTAAGAATTATAGACCTATCCGACAGTTGTTTGACAGAAAAAGATATAACTTCAATTATATAATAGATTTGTAGTAAATGTCAATAGGAAAACAACCAAACAATATCGACTGCAGGTACTATACAGCCTTAAAAAAAAGGCAAGTGTCCTATACAAAATATATGTTGGTCACTTTACAGCCTTATGAAATAGGCAAATGTCCTATACCAAACATCTACAGGTCACTATATAGCCTTAAAAAATAGATAAGTGTCCTATACCAAACATCTGCAGGTCACTATACAGCCTTAAAAAATAGGCAAGTGTCCTATACAAAACATCTGCAGGTCACTATACAGCCTTATAAAAATAGGAAAGTGTCCTATACAAAACATCCACATGTCATTATACAGCCTTACAAAAATATGCAAATGTCCTATACAAAACATCTGCAGGTCACTATACAGCCTAACAAAGTAGGTAAGTGTCCTTTGCAAACATCTGAAGGTCACTATACAGCCTTATAAAAATAGGCAAGTGTCCTATACAAAACATCTGCAGGTCATTATACAGACTGACAAAGTAGGTAGGTGTACTATACAAACATCTGCAGGTCACTATACAGCCTTATAAAAATAGGCAAGTGTCCTATACAAAATATCTGCAGGGTACTATATACAGCCTTAAAAACAGAGTAAAAGTGTCCAGTCTATAAACATGCTTGTATTTTTTTTATAGAAGCTAAAAAAAAGGAAACATAACATTTAGATCCATGACATGATGTTTTGCCCCTGTTGTATGATACAGACTAGTTATCTGTCAGACTGGTTGATAAATTGTATTCCCATTGATTTATCCTTACCTTTTATTACATTTTCTGTTCCTCCAATATTCACAGCTTCAATTAATTTTTTGTTCAACTGAAAAATATAAGAATTGATAAAACATGATGAAAAAATGCAAATTTTCTGTCACTCCAGTAGTTCCATGATATTTGTGGATGTCAAAAGTTCTTGGATATAGACAAGATGTTTGTCAATGTCAAGAAATGGAGTGTGGAAAGTTACAAGTCATAACAACTTTATGGTAATGAATTTTGATTACCAATAAATACTGAATACTTATATTTGGTATTTACAGCTGATGATTACTGATATAATCCAAAAGAACTTATGTTTATAGATGGTTTGTTTGGGATTTTAACATGGACCAAGCATTATATTTACTTGAATATTTTTACCCCTGCTTTTCACCTTCTGTATGTCACCCTTAATTTTAACAGCAGAAGTTCACCCAACCATAAGCTTGAACAAAATAGTGCCATTCAAATCACATTGATAGAATTAGTCTTGAAAAACATAATTTGTGCTTGAACTTTCTGATAGCCCTTTTTCACTTAGTTACACAGCTCAATCCTTTAAACAAAAGCAGGCAGAAGATACCAATGGGACAATCAAAAAATCTAAGTTGAAAATAACCAATATCAAGGTCAAAAAGAAAAACAACAGATTCTGAACAAGACAGACTACAAAACAGTATACGGAAAACTAAAGACTGAGCAACACAAACCCAACAATACTATTTTAACTGACAGTAAATGATATTTAGAGCTGAGCTTTTCAAATCCTACATAATTTTTTTTCACAGCCTTCTATCTGACAGAAATAAGATTAATAGCATGTTTTCATGCATGAGTACATAGATTTTCTTTATAATTAAGATATTTAATCTTACTATATATCAAAAGGAATTTTATCAATTTCCTAACAATAGGAAGAGTAATAAGAAATAATATCTGGAGATAAAAAAGAATATCTATATACAGAAAACCTTAATGAATATGATAATATTTCATTATGGAATGATTGATGTGAGTGAAAAAATTCTTTTATCCTCATTCTGTGACCAAATAGGTCGATCAAAATTATATATTCCATCTATTCATATATAGCTACATTCTAGACAGCTTCCAACAGAAAAACAAATTTGTATGCTACTTTTGGCATTGATGCGATGACTCTAAAAATTAGATTGCCTAAAGGATCAACAATGAAACGTAATCAGAACAATTGAAATATACATTGGCAAGCAGTTTTAGTAACAAGTCCACGCACTTCCTACTTTCAAAACATATGAATGCAATCATAATACTCGGCAATAATCTGTTCAATGAGGCTGTAACCTCCAAATAAAAGATGAAATATCATAAATAGATCATAATTTGATATAAACATTAATATCTGTTTTGAAATTAATGAAGAAAAGAAGTCTCATTTGTGACAAAACTTAGATGAATTTATTGACTACTGGTTTGAAATTGCTGAAAATGGGTAAAATTTCCTGCTTTTAATTGCTATGTTGATATTTAAACATATACAGGTAAGTTAATTACATTATTTATCTTTCATATTTCAATGCTGTTATGTAATATTAATTGTTTTGTTATGTCATTTATAAAACAGTGTGAAATGGCTGAAGCTGATGCAATATAATCCAAATGTCAAATAAATAAATTCTCATTAAGATAAAATAAACAATTACAAAGTTATAAAATAATTACATAATGAAAATATCAATGAAGGTTTTAGCACATTGCAGTAAATACAATATCTGATCATGGAATAATTAACGCATTCATTACAATATCAAAAGTGTCCATGAACCCAATATGTTCAAATCGTTTGGTTCCAGGTGGAGAGTTGTCTCATCGACAATAAAACCACATATTCTTATTTTTATGCTAGTAGGAAATTTGAATATTGCAAGCCTTATAAAATAAACATTTCAATGTATCTAGTTTTTTCTTCTTCTTTTTAGTGCCTACCTTAAATATTTTTTTGCCATTTTTGAACAAGCTGTTTTAAAGTCAAGATTGTTTCTCCTGTTTTAGGTGAAATTAAAAAAAATTAGAATTTAAAATTGATACTATAAGTCAGAAGAGCATTGGTTAAGAAACAAAATAAGCTTAAAATACTGATAGGTTATGGAGCTCCTTTTCGAGATATTTAATTTTTAAAAAATGGCGGGGAAAAGGCTGACTTGGACTTTTACCTTATATTTGCATTGGTATTATTTGGGTCTCAAATCGAAAGAAAAGAAATCTAGAATCTGCTTAAATTTTGGTAAATGACCTTTTATTAGCTATTGAAGTCTTACATGAAAAGAAAAATGGGTGTTATGGGGCAAAATATTTTACCCTGTATCATAGGAAAAAAACCAAGGAGTCCGAACAAATGACAAAAATTCCTTAACCTGACCTAAGTACATCCTTAACCAGTCAAAACCTTTTGAAAAAATATTTTATTTACCAATGTTACCAACCCTTTTTTCAGAATGTTAGCAAAAAAACAGGTTTTTGTTTTAGGCCTTAGAAAAAGTGGATGTCTTCAGAATGCCTAACTTTTGTAGTCATCCAACAGTTACTATAAAAGAGCGGAAGATTTCTAGAAATAAATAGTGCTGTTAGAATCAATAACATCCAATATAAATGTCATGGATTGTACAGCATATGTTTAACATAACCTGGTGCACAAATATTATATTCTGAAATACAATCATGATGATGCTTCAATGATCCAATTTCCAACAAAAGTCATTCAGATACCAACATTTCACTTTTCAATATTACATATTCATTGTTTGGATTCAATTTTCACCATTTTATTGCTACATAAAGATGAAGCTCAATAATAGTTATGAATTCATAGGAAGTTCCCAGCTGACTTTATTTCAACTCTCATACAATTCATTATTTTCAAGCTACAATTTAATACAGCTAAAATTTCATTTCGTTTATTGTGTGTCATCTCCCAAAAAAAAATCAAACATTCATTTTATAAAATTTATTTCCGAATTCAAAACCATTATTTTATTTTCTTGTTCTTTTATGACATTGATATTAATTGCAGATTTTCTGGATTCTATGTGATCTAACAGAATCAAAATGATACATATACACTGCAATAAATTTGCTTGTTTAATTAGAGTTGTGCTTCTTTCAACACATTTATAATTGACTGCACACATTCAATGCATCATCTTATTGACGTAATTCAATTATCTCCTCAAAGAAGAAAGAAATAACTACTTTATGTGTAATGCCATTAATCCTGTTGTATTTAAGTTACACTAAGATAAAACATTGAGATTCTTATCTTACTTATAAAATGTTCCACCTATGCTGGATCTTGAAACAACTGAAGAGGATGTTAACCATCATTGACAGCCAAGTAACAAAAAAAATCCTGAAAGTTAATTTTAGTATATGAAATAAAAAAAACAATAATTTAGGTCTCTTGCCTGATGATTGATTGATTGTTGGTGCTTAACACCTCTTTCAGCACTATTAGCTACTAATGGTCAGTTTTTATTGGTGGAGGAAGCTGGAATGCCCAGAGAGAACCATGACCTTCGACAGGAAAACTGACAAAGTCAAAGGCACCTGTCACATGTGGGTTTGAACTCACAACCTCAGTGTTGACATGCTAGATATAGTAGTTGAACTACTGAGATCACTTGACTGCCAAGGCCCCCTCAGGATGTATCTAAGATCACATTAATATGTTAGATATAATAAATTTTAAAGTAGCATACCTATTATCAAACAAATTTTAACTATATATAAAAAACAACTAAATAATTTTGAAAGGATGAGCAAAGTTAAATTTAGTAGATACATGTATCATGTTACTAAGGGGGATTTAAAGCTTGGCAACAGTGTGGTCCTTTGTAACAGGCCACATGCTGACCTCTAGAATGCTGATGGATTTTTTTATAACTTAATTTGTTGGGTTGCTGTTTTATTGACATTTATTCACATTGACTTTAATCGTTCTGATCTTAAAACACCCAACTTTTAAACAAATACATTTGACAATTTTAGTGTACATTTTGCAGAGTGCACCTTAAATTCAATCTTTCTTAATTAAGTTTTCCCAAGCAACTGAAAAATGCCCATTTACAGCCTCAATGGATCTAAGCCTTGGACTAGAACTATGGCTCAAAATGTAGAAATAAATCTTTAGTTGCTGTAATTAAACTGAATTGGTATTTTTCACTGGATGTTAAAGTAATCATGAAACAATTATAAGAGATCCAGTTCTGTTTATGTATATCTCTATAAATATTATTGCTTTTTTACCATTAATTTTAATTAGAACCAAGGGCAATAAACAAGATTCGCACCTGCCAAAACCCTCAGCACGTAGATAATGGAAAAAGAATCAACTATTCTTTCTTTTTCTTGTACAGATGCTGGTTGTTAAACTGTCCCATAAAATTTCATGTTAATACTTTGAAATGAGGATAGCAATACTCCCAACTTTTGTAATTAGTATAATATATATGTGCTTGTCTTTTCTCATTCCAGTTGAATTGTTTAAACACATACTAAGCTATAAAAGCATAGAAGGTAATATACAATGATAACATATAAACTTAAATTCAGTAAATCTAGCAGATTTAACAGCTCTTATCCTCAGTTCTCAAATAGGCTTCAGAGAAGAATGTTTTTTCCTGCATATTTTCATTAGGAGGGTCGAAAATTTGATAGCAAAAATGTCTGAATAAACACGTAAATATTTCTAATCAATGATAGTTTTTGTAAAATATTATATAACCAGATATAAAATCTTATGAAAAAATGGATACTGCATATTAATAAGAGTTTAGAAGTATAGAAATTTAGTATACTTGTTCAACCTTTCTAATTATGATAAATCATTGATCTATCATTATTGTTAACCAAACTACAGATATTGTGTAATTAAAAATATTATAATCCTTTTAGTGATAGCAAAAAAGACTTGTCAATTTTTATAGATGTGTTTTACAGAATTCAATTTCAAATATTATGTCTTTGGTTGAACATTCCCACAACATAAACTGTTCTAGAATGTAAAGAAGAACACCATTCTATAAT